CATTCTCATCAGTGGCACGCCATAATCTCAGTACATGATAAGATCTTCAATAATTCAGAACAAGACAAAAGTGAAAGAAGAAAAGAAGAAGATTTTTTCTACCATACTGTATACTTTTAGACTTTTTATTCATTATTGCTGTACTACTAAAAAAGATGTCGGATATTTTGTTAGACTTTTGTAAAAAGTTGTGGAAACTCTGCAAAAGAAAGATTCCCAACTGTAAAACTTTAGAAATTTTAGCAAAAAGACAGATAAATTTTTATCACTTGTCAGAATGGCCAGAAGTTTCTCAGTGAAACGCGAGCCTTCTTCAAGGGTAGTTTAGACTTTTTGCTCCCAAGAATTTTTCTATTTAAGGAACAAGTTTCATTTGGTATAGGCAGAAGTTTACAACCTGTGTACTCTCTGCTATCCAAAAACCTTTTGAAACCTCTCCTTCAGAAAAATTATCAATCCAAAAAATCATTGTATAGTTGAATCATCCTTGTGAATATTTAAGGTATTCTTGTATTTCTTTAAAATTTATTTTAGAACTTTAGGGACTTCCCGAAAGGGAAATCCTTAGTTGTAAATCTTTTTAAAGATGAATTTATAAATCCCTGACTTATGTTTTAATCTTTTGTTTATGTTTTTATGTTCATATTTCAAGTAAATATTTACTATGCTCATCATTTCATCATATGCATATAATAAAAGCATAACTTGATTTTTAGAAGCCATACTGTTTTTAGGTTAATCTTGAGTGACCCAGATGAATGAAAACTTTTGGTCGGAGTGAGCCTTTTGATGTTTTCTAGAGATGCTGGGGAAAGGGAGAAATTAATCTAAGAATTTTATAAGGGAGTGCCACGGGTAACCTTATAAAAAGGAATCAGGTTCAAGTTTATATGTCATAGGTGGTGAAAAAAAAAAAAAAGGAATTTCTATATGATTCTTAAGAAAGATTTATAGAAAACTAAGGAGAGTACTGAGTAGAATTAAAGCTATTAAAAGTTTAAACTGTCACTAAAATAACAGCCATCTAAAACAGCAGCCATTTTAACAGCACACCCCCCATAGATGAAGAATATGATAGGATAATTTATCCAAAAGAATTAGGAATGAATTTAGATAATAAAGAAATATTAGTAATTGTAACACTTCCATTATCTTTTAATAAAAAACTTAATCCTAAAATAAAGTCTGTATTTTTAATATTCAAAGGTCTAACCCATACGGATTCTTTTGGTAAGGTATATTCTATACTTCTACCGCAGTTTGTCTCAAAACTAATCTTACTATTTGATTGTAATAATTCTGTATAAGTATAAAGTTCTCCATCCATTTGTTGTGCTTCTATTGGTTTGTCTGAGTATGTTATATATTTTTCTGGAATTAATTTCTTATTAATTATACAATTACTACATCCTGAGTCTATTAGTCCTAAACATTTTATTTCATATTGTCCTATTCTTATGTAACATTATACCTTAATACTTTTAAGTTTTTCTGGATTACATATTACTTGAACATATTCTTTTTCTTTGTATTCTATACCTTGACTATGTTCTTCTGTTTCTATTGATTTTCCTTTATTATTATATTCTAACATTTCTATTTTATTTATTATAAATTTTTTCATTTCTTCTAGACTTTCAATTCTTTTTCTAAGAATTTTTATTTCTAATATTTCAATTTTTTCTTTTAAAATTTCTGAATTAACTTCTTCTTTTTCAATAAGACTTTTTTCTTCTAAACATTTTATACATGCTTCTTTATAACATTCTAAACATTTAGCTCTAAGCTTTCTTACTGGGTACCAGTTACATAAGTACCAAGCTATATTATCTGCTCTTTTGTATTTTTGCCAATTATGTAAACATTCTATATGTCTTTTCTCATCTAGATATGGTTTTCTTTTATTAGATTTTCTAAGAAAATATCTTTTCTTAAAAGATCTTTTATTCTTTCTTTCTTTCTTTATTACTATATTTATTTTTTCTTGAACTAGAGGCTCCATAAGTTTGTGGGGTAAAAATATCTTTACAAAATTTATAATCTGTCTTTTTAAGTTGTTTTTGATTTTGTAATTCTACACATTTACCTTCCAAGCATCTAATTACATGTTGTATTCTTTGTCCTATACTCCATAATTTTTTTGGTTCTTCTTTTACAGTTGGTAAATTATTCCATTTATCTGTAATTTCTAATCCTAATGGTCCTGGTAATTTATGAAATAACTTATTACCAATTTCTTGATTAAATGTATTTCCTGATATTGAAGTTAAATAATGATATTCATTTAAAAAGTTCTTAACATATCTTCCTTTAGTCCATTTATAAAGACTAAGTTGTTCTAAATCTCTCATAGCTTTTCTTTGTATACTCATATGTCATGAATTAGGATCTGCTCCTGTTATTAATATCTGTATTTTATTAACAAAATTATAAGGATTGCTTCCCATACTAACTAATTGTTCAAATTCTTGTTTCTTTTCTAATTTAAATGCTTTCCACATAACTTTTACACTTTCTCCTAAAAATGTTTCTAAATATCTATACATATCTAAAGCTTCCATTTCTTGAAAATTTCTAATATAATGTCATATTATGGTATTTTTCCATACGTCTATTACATTATTCCATGTCTGTGGATCATGTGCTGTAATGTTTAAAATCTGTGCTTTATGGTCTGATTGAAATTCTATTTTTTTTCTAAGGGTCTTTCACTGCCTCTTGCTATGTATTTTGCTTCTGTATTATTATATAAAGGATAAGCTCCTCTTGGAGGAAATCCTCCACTATAAACCATTGTTTCATGTTTAACTGTCTTATCAAAAGGAGTATCACTAAAAGTTCTATATGTATTTGAATCTTCCATAAGTTCTTTTGTATAACTCAAATCTGAATTTTCTGAATCATTATCTTCTTTAATAATTCCTATTCTTATATTATGTTCTTGGTCATAATATAAATATTCAGATTCTGTAATTGTCTTATTAAGATACATTTGGTCTTCTAATTCTAATATTTCTTTATTATCTAAATTCATTCCTAATTCTTTTGGATAAATTATCCTATCATATTCTTCATCTATTAATTCTTAATGAACTTGATTTTGATACGGTTCATTTTGTTCTTCCTCAGGATTGGTTTCTTCTTCAAAGTCATTTTGTCTTTGTATTTGATTATAATCTAAAAATCTTAAACTAGTTCTTTCATGAATGTCTTTATAGGTTAATGCTTCCTGTGGTGCTATAATTATTTCTTGATTTTCTAAAAACTTATCCATATCCCATTCTAGTCCTGCTAATTGTTCTGATGAGTATTCTTTAGGTTTAACCATATTAATTCCTTTACTACTCATTAAATTTACTACTTTATCTATGTATATTTTATATTTTGTCTGGGAGTTATTTGAATATCTTCCTAAAAATTCTATACTGATTAACAAATTATCTCCATTTTCTACCTCTTCATATCCTTTTGTTTGAATTCCTATTTTAATTTTGTCTGAAAAATCTTTAATAGTTAGTAAAAAATCTGGATTACAATAAATTATTCCATTATTATTATTCATGTCTACTTCTGTACTAGCAATCATACTTTTATCTATATTATTAATTCTTTCATCATATATTGTAACTAAAACCTTACATCCTAAATTTTTTCTCATTAATCTTTTTATTCCTATAACTATTAATCCTAGGTGCATAAATCTAAAGTTTTTCTTTTTTAATTCTCTCTTATATATATATATGTATATATATATATATATATATGTATATATATATATATATGTATATATGTGTATATGTATATGTATACATGTATATGTATATATGTATATGTATATATGTATATATATATATGTATATATGTATTTTTTTTTACTTCGCACTGTACAGAGAGTTGGGGCACATGGTTTGACATCTCTTCGCACTATGCGGATAGTTTTTTCTTCTTTTTTTACTCCACACATGGTTTACCATCTCTCCGTACTGTGCGGAGAGTTTATTTATTTATTTTTTTAAAACTCATGAGCGAAGAGTTTTTTTTATTTTTATTTATGACAGTTTATATTTATTGAAATTATTATTATTTTTTTAATGCTAGTGGCATGATGTGTGAAATAACATTTGTTTGACATAATTTTTTTTAATGCTAGTGGGATGATGTGTGGAAGAATATTTGTTTGACGTAAATAAAATGAAAAATAAAAAATGACATCATACATAGTAAAATTGAATTCATTTATTATTGTATGAATAGTAGACCTTCTTTCCCATTTTTATTAGAAGTTAGAAATAATTAAGCGGTGATGAGATGACATCAGTGCTAGAAAAATCCAATATTGCATGCTTAGCGGTGCTTGTCAACAAAAACCATGGTGTGAGATTTTGATGCGGTAACATAATCGAAATGAACAAAGATCTATTAAACATTGTAGTTTTATTTGTATATGCTGGGAAATGGATTATGGGTTTATATTGTTATTGGATCACAAGGATATATTGAAGAAAGTTATTTTCTTGAAAATCTTTTGATAATTTGAACTTTTAAAGTTTCGTGACAATTAAAAAAATACTTTAAAGTTCAATGACAATCGAAAGATATTATAAAAAGTTTAGTGCAAATGATATATTAACTACATAACTCATTACTAAGAATGATGAAATTTGGTTGTCAAAATGGCATGTAAAATTGAATATATCATGGAGTTGAGAGATCAATAATACTCGATTCTGAACCAAATTAGTAGTTAAAAGGTGTAAAATGGAGGGAAAATTCAACTCAAATAGGGGCCTTTGACAGCCCCTGTGACGGGGGTGGAGGTATGTGAAACTTCAACGGAGCATACATATTTTTAAAAATTTTGATTTTGCTTAAAATTAAGTAGATCCCAAAACTATGTGCTTACTATACTAATACAAGCAGAAATCCAAACATGCACAACTTTACTTTTTTCAGTTATAAGCTTATCTTTATTCTAATCGCACCCAAAAATGTGAACACCATGAACCATAAAATTTCCAATATACCATACAATCAATATATAGCAAGAGCATCATTCACATAATAAAACTGAAAAAAGGTTTGCTAAATAGAATACTATACATGGTCGATGAATATATGAATATGGTGTAGCATACACATGAAGCACAGCAATCTATCGTGCTTCCATAACATGCCGATCCTTCAACACTGGCCTCAGGAACTCGATAGAAAGTTACCCAAATTTACCGATCATCAGGTGGCAGTGTAGGGCTCTTGGAACACATGTCGATCTTTTGAAGTTCCATCATCTTCTTAACCGGATTGCATAAACCTGATATTTTACATCAATTCCTAAATCAGATAAAAGTATTTATGCCGTGCTATTGACTCTTACTTAAGTACAGAAATTATTAGGCAAGACCAATTACAAGTGAAAATAAGCAACTATTCTATTATTTTCCTCCTCTTTCTTGAAAGAATAGTACGCACCCTTTACTCGTGCTATTGAGCCGTTCAAACAGAAGGAAGAGAGAGAGAATCAGACTGATTTCCAAAATATCCGTTAATTCATTGGTGATTTTTGCTATTTTTGAGGGCAAAGCTTCTAGCACTACATAATAGACGTTCTAGAATGTCAAGAACTCTACTTTTTAGGTCGAGCATTACATAAAACTTTCCACCTCCAGATCAATGGCTGGACTGGGGCAGGACCAGAATAGAATTCAGGCTGCTGTCTAAAGAATGCAGGACTCTTTCTTATCTTATTAAGCTAGTATCCCAACCTTCCCTCTATTAGAATTAGAGATCGATTAATGAAGTATCACAAGATTTGAATTGTTCAAGACAAACTGAAAAGGTGGGATACAGAGACGTCCTTTTTCATTTTCTGTTCTGTTTTTTGCTAAAAATCCACGAGGTGGGTGGGGGGGGGGGGGATCCTA